TGCTGGGTGCAGCAAAACAACATGGCATGTGTATACCTATGTATCAAACCTGCACATGGTGCACATGTACCCTAGAACTTAAAGTATAATAAAATAAATAAATAATGAAATCATTGCACTTTGCAGCAATGTGAATGCAGCTGGAGGCTGTTATCCTAAATAAAATGACTCAAAGTAAAAAACTACATGTTCTCACTTATAAGTTGAAGCTAAACAATGGGTACACATGAACATATGAAATAGAATAATAGATATTGGTAACTCCGAAAGGTGCTAAATATTGAAACCTATAAATGGGGAGTATATATGTTGAGTATTCTGTATGAGGCCTTTGTTATTCTTGTTCAGTCAAATGTAATGATTATGTTTAACTATGCTATTATTGTATTAGTTCTTATTGCAGTTTATAAGAGATAAAATGCATGAATTTCATAAGTATATTTGAAATATACCCGTCTTATATCAAAAGATCTTAACTAAACAATATTTTAATAAAGTTTTTCATCAAAGTTTAGACTTAGGACTAAAAATACTATCATTCTAATTTCAATTAAATAATTTCCAGAAAAAGTCTATTAACCAGTTTCATATTATATCTATAAGAAAGCACATTAACCTATTTGCATATTTATATAAATTAACTTACTAGTTCTTCAATGGAGAAGCAGACTTTAAAGGAATTGAATGCTGGAAAATAAGTTTGACTTAGGGAGTAAGGTTGGGACAACTCCAGAGTAGACAGGGTAGGTCCAAAAGTAAAAATTCAATGATAAAAATAATACTGGCATATGACCAGTTTGAAGGCAGTGAGTAAAAGGGTCAGAAGAAAAAAACTGAAGTTATGGAGGCGATTTAGGTAGTATGATGGCTATTAATTATATTTCTGTTAATATTCTACTAACAGAAATGAAAGAGTGTTAAAAATAACTAGTTTGGAAGTTGATATGGTTTGGATGTTTGTCCCCTCCAAATCTAATGTTGAAATGTAATCTCCAATGTTGGAGGTAGGGCCTAATGGTACGTGTTAGATCATGAGGATGGATCCCTTATGAATGGCTTAGAACCATCTCCTTGGTGATTATTGAGTTCTCTCTCTGTTAGTTCACATAAGATCTGGTTGTTTAAAATTATATGGTACCTCCCTCCTCTCTCTCTTGCTTTTCCTCTTGCCATGTAATGTGCCTGTTCCCTCTTTGCCTTCCACCATGATTGGAAGCTTCCTGAGGCCTCACCAGAAGCTGAGCAAATGTCGGCGCCATGCTTCCTGCACAGCCTGAAGAGCTGTGAGCCAATTAAACCTCTTTTCTTTATAAATTGCCCAATCTCAGGTATTCCTTTATAGCAATGAAAAAGCAGCCTACCACTGGGGTAAGGAGAATTCATGATTAAAGTCAAGGAGAATCTTGACTTTAATCATGAATTTAAATCTTGAGTTTGATTATGAGCTATATATATATATGTTATATATATGTGTGTGTGTGTATATATAACATATATATATATATTACAAAGCAGTGCTAGGTACTTTGTATGGCAGAACTGATTATTATAGAATAATTTATAGTTGGCAGCATAAAGAGTTCAGTAGAAATAAATAAAATTTAAAATGAGTTTTAATAAATTTCTCACCGAGTTGCTAGTGGAGAGTAAAATTCCTAGGGGAGGAAATGAAGAGGGGAAGGGGGACAGAGAAGGGACAAAGTTTGCTAGTGGTAGAATTTTCATTTTTTTCTTTATATTTTGATTTTTACAATTATAAAATTTAAAATTTAATAACTAGATCTTGAAAAAAAAAAAAAACCAGTGTTTTGCATCACAAGTTTTGTACTGATAAACAAAAACAAAAACAAAAAACACTAGGTAGTCTTCTCCTTCTTGACACGATTTATAAGGCACTGTATAATCATTCCCTGCCTACTTTTCCATCCTCATTTAGTATCATTCTATCTACAGGCTCCAGCTATGCCATGTCCTCTCTTACTTGTAGATTTTTACTCACGTTGTACTGAATTACTCTTTCAAAAAAAATTTTTTTTTTCTCTAGAGACAGGGTCTCCCAGTGTTGCCCAGCTGGTCTTGAACTCCTGGGCTCAAGCATTCCTCCCACTTTGGTCTTCCAAAATGCTGAGATTACAATTATAAGCCACTGCACCCAGCCCCCAAATTACTCTTAAACATCAGTACTGTACACTTACTCCCAAACTTGTCCAACTTCCACTTCAGATGTTATTTTTGTTAGGGAGCTCTTCCCCAAATCCCCCTGCCATGCTGCCACAGTATTCTTTATTTCTCTTAGTGTAATTTCCATTATTATATTTTCTTTATTGTAATTTTGTGTTTAATTTTGTTTTTCCCTACAAGTCTCTGAAAACAGGGACCATTGTATCTCCAGTGCTTACTTCAGTGGTATGGTCTTGGTAAATGTTTGTTGAATGAGTGGATACATTTCAAAGTAGACTGTTTTCAAGTCTAAGGAAACTATTTGACTCATGAATTTTCCTGGGCCGACTGACAAAAGCTTATTTAACAATGTTTTTACAGGAAAAAAAGATGCATTCAAGGCCAGAGAGCATGTCACTCAATTCAGCACTGACAATGGAAAAGTGCTAAATGCCCTTAAATCCAAACCTTCTTTAATGGTTCCCATTAGCTGTGGCAGCAACCATAATAACATAAACAGTACCCATAATAGTTCCCATAAGCTTGGGCAGAGACTCATGGCTATAGGAAAGAAAATAGATATGGCAAGGAGGGTGAAGACTAGGACAGATAGTCAATAAATAAGCTCTGAAAGAGGATGCACAAAATTTTCTACTTTAAATTTAAACAAGCTTTCGTCACCTTTATCTTTTCCCTCCTTTCTTTTTACTGCCATAAATTATGGCTCCCAAGTAGGCTTTCTTTCTTGTAATGGTTAATTATAGAACAAACATGGGAACCCAGACTAATGGTTTTCTCCTTTATATACAGGTTTTTTTCAACAAATTAATAAGAATACATTTTTAACAGCAGCTTCAGATCTAAAGAAAATTGAACAGAAAGTATAAAGAGTTCCCACGTACCCCTTCTGTCATTTCCTTTTATTAACATCTTGTATAAGTGTGGCACATTTGAATTTATTTATTTATTTATTTATTATTTTGTATTGAGATGGAGTCTTACTCTGTCACCCAGGCTGGAGTGCAGTGGTGAGATTATGACTTACTACATGCTCATCCTTCTGGGCTCAGGTGCACACCACCATACCTGGCTAATTTTTAAAAATTATTTGTACAGATGGGGTCTCATTATGCTGCCCAGACTGGTCTTGAACTCCTGGGCTCAAGCAATCCTCCTACCTTGGCCTCCCAAAGTGCTGGGATTATAGGTGTGAGCCACTGCACCCAGCAATTTTTTAAAAAATATATATTTAGAAAAAAATTTTGGTAGTGATGGGGTCTCACTATGTTGCCCAGGCTGGCCTTAGATTCCTGGCCTCAAATAATCTTCCTCCCTCAGCCTTCCAAAGTGCAGACATTATAGGCATGAGCCACTGTGCCCAGCCAATGAATTGATGTTGACACATATTATTAACTAAAGTCTTGAAAGAATAGTGACATAGAGACTTGGAGAAGATAGCTTCCCATTAAATCTTATTAAATAGATAAAGAAAAAGTTTTCAAATATTAACAAAATAATGCCAAAAGTTAAATCTATACTTATTTTGTATTCTGTCATCATTTTTTGGTCTAAATATATGTGCTAAGAATGGCAAAGAATTTCCCTATAATACTGAGAGACCTGCTTTGTTAGTCCAGGGATTGCTTATTTCTATGCTTGTGATACAGAAAACTGCATTTGTTAGAATATTTCTAGTTAGGAAATTGTCTTTAACTTACAGCTTTAAACTTGTGTGACAGTGGAAGTTGATTTCACCTTTAAACTTGTGAGGAATGCCTGGTACATATTAGATGTCCAATATATGTAATCTTTCATTGAGTTAAAAAATGAATTGAATTAATAATTAATAATTCATTATGATCTCATTGATTTGACTCCAACTAATTCACCAGTCAAAAGAATTGTGTATATTTTCTCACAATTAGGACTATAGTAAAATATATTTTTTCATGTGAACTATATGTTAAAGTAATCATCACAATTAACTTTTAAAACACAAATCTGAATTTGCCACATTAATAGAGAACTGACTATTCTACCTACAATCTTTTCATATGAACTTAGCACATCAGTGAAAGGAAACACAACTGTAACCTTCTATATATATCCTTTTACAATAAAACCCTTATCCTACAGATTAATGAAATTTTTTAACTTAAAAACTATCTGAAAATTTCTTATATAGGAAATAGGGAAACAATAAAATTAGTGATAAGAACAAATTAGGAATAACAGGAGGAATCACACTCATCTCTTCTTCAAAAAGAAAAAAAAGGTAATTCAAGGAGGAAGAGAATACAACATATGCTTGACAACAACACTTATAACATTGGTCAAATTCTCTAGGCACTAGCATGAATAGGAAAGAAATTGTGTGGCACGCTTTTGAAACAAGATGAGAAGGTTATAAAAGTCTTTAGAAATCCACTTTAGGTCAGACAGCTTCTAGCTTAATTATTCTGAGTTCTTCAAGGATGATGTAAAAACACTCATGCTCTAATCTGGCATGGAACTTTGGGTAAATGCTTCAATTTGTTAAAAATAAATTTAAGTTTTGCATTTAGGTTTCCTCAGTGCTTTTCAGGAACTTATTTACCATGTCATTGTTCAGGTTGGCACTTCCACAGTTTACTACCAAAGAAATGCTTGCACTCTTTTACCCCAAAGGAAAGCTACAATATGACAAATGTTGGGATGGTATATGATATATAAAATTCTTAATAGTTCCCATTGTGCAGAATACTTATAACCTTTGCTCCAATACAAATTTATGTTTATAATACCTTATATCTAAATTTGAAAAAGTAACAGTGAAGGAATGAATGAATACAAACTCTTACCACTTGGCAATACCATGACTGGCTCTGTAAACCTTTGTTCATCTGCTAATGGTAGGTTTAAAGAGATGATTAACACCATTCCCAGACTGGTTCCAACGAACAGACAAGGAGAGATGGTAGAGTCATTTTTCCGTGCAAAGGATTCCATGAAGTATAGTGCTGTAATTGCTTCTTTAGAATCTTTGTCAATACTGGAGATACTAGAGCTTCTGGAACGATTATAGGAATTTTCTCGGTTTTCTATGGAAATACATAAAAAACCCCACACAAATTGTTAGCATATTTCCACAATAACATCAGGGATTTAATATATAAAAAACCGAAATTACAAGGAGGAAGTAAAATTACATTGTTTGTTAATTGACCTAGGAGGGAGCTTATCCAGTTAACCCCTTATTTTGAAGATGGAGAAACTGAAGTCTAGAAGTATAATTCATAAGCTTAGGCAGACCTAGGACTAGAATTGGAGGCTCCTGAGTTCTGGCTCACCATTTTTCTTTCTCTATGTTAACTCACAAGTTAGTTGAAATTCTTTTACCTAGAAAAAAGATTTAGTCTAAATAGTAACGGTTATAAGAATTTCCGATATCACTGAAATTGTGCTTCCCTCCTACCTCTAAATTGTTGGAAGTGTCCCTAACACTTTGTCAATTCCAAAGACAATATTGTGACGATTGGCATGAAAGGGCTTATCTGGATCACAAATCTTCTGTGGCAAACATATTCCATATCTGGGGTAATTACAATTGTAAAAATTAACATTTCTACCAAGGCCAAAATGCAAATTTTATCTCCCTGAACTGGTTTCAGGCTGTTACCTTTAATTCAATTCCAGTCCTAACTTTGCCTAGGGCTAAACAAAGAGTATAGACTATATGCCATCCTATTGATAGTGGTAATCTTTCTGAGAGTGCTTCAGCTCACTTGAAAAAAAAAAAACACAAAAAAACAGGATGGTTTCAGGTTCTCCTCTCATCAACACTTGTACATGTGCACACTCCAATAAGCATAAACTTATACAGCTCAGTGAAATGTTATCAAGGTTGTCCTGCTCTTATAATCTACAGAGTACAAGTTCTTCATATTTTTCTTTCTACGGCCTCTTTTTCCTCTTGATAGGTACACATGTAACTCATAATTGTTTTTATAGAAAAGGAAACAAAATATAGTATTTCTAATTTCTCCTTTTTATCTCTTAGCAAATTTATAAAAATAATTGTTTGTCATAAAATTTAGAGACAAGAGGGAGTTTGGAGGTTATATATTTTACAGATTTGGAGACAGACTTAGAGTTTAGTAATTTTCCCAGAATCCAGGACAAATTAGAGGTAGAAGTATCTAAAATTCAAAATTCCCACCTCTCATTACAATGATTCAGAGTGCTACTTCTGGCTGGGTGTGGTGGCTCATGGCTGTCTGTAACCCCAGTGCTTGAGGCCAGGAGTTCAAGACTACCTTGGGCAACTTAGTGAGACACTGTCTCTACAAAAACTGAAAAATAAGATGGATGTGGTGGTGTGCACCTGCACCTCCAGCTGCTTGGGAGGCTGAAGCAGGAGCGTCGCTTAAGTCCAGGAGTTAGAGGCTGCAGTGCACTATGATTGCGCCACTGTAATCTAACCTCAGCAACAGAATGAGATCCTCTCTCTTAAAAAAATAAAAATTAAACAGGGGCTACTTCTTTTATAATCCTTACATAGTGCTTCTTTTATAACATGCTAGCTATTATATGGCTCCAAATCTTTTCCATTCAGGGTTCATCACCATACAAAGTTGATATTCATAGACACCTGTTAGAGAAATAACATCATTATCTGCATATCTAAGGGATCAGATTTAGTATAGCATAATATTTAAAAAAACAAAAGCTTAAATATAATTTTTTTAAATTTGAGGACCAATATAGATCACTGTCAAAAGTTTTCAGGAGTAGTAAATAGAGACTTACTTCACAGCATAGAATTACTATAGCAAATTTTCTTAAAATTTTTTTTTCCTATCTCTCTTTCTAAAGTTCCTTATCAATAGGACAGTTGCAGCAAAGTTACAAAATTCCCTTTTTGTCCCTCTGTAAAAATGTCTGGTCTCTGGCTCTTGTAATTTACTCCCCTCCCCCACCGCCCCACACTCATTCCATAAATAAACAAATAGACCTTCCTTTTAAAAATATATGAAGATGAAGATTGAAAACTTTAGAATTTAATATCTTGCCTTTGTTCTTGGTCACATTCATTTGACAATTGAGGAAATTAAGGTTGCAATACATTAAATATCTACCGATAGAGACACCAAAAAGCTTACCATTGGGATTGAAATAAACTCTTAATTATTACGGGAAGGGTAGGGAACAGATTAAGGCATAGCTCTCCCTTTGTACAGAGGAGCGAGTAGTTACCTATAAGCAGAGACATTTTGGTTTTCCAGGTGAGGAAGGAGGTGGAGTGAGGAATGGAGTTGGAGTTATGGCCACAGCCCCATCAGGCTCTCAGGTATTCACTGACTAGTAGTTTTTAAATATCTTTCACATGTGATCTCCATCCTGTATCTCTGTTCCCATTACCATGGTAAACCAAATTTTAACTGTACCAAAAAAATTTAATATGTTTAACATACCTTCTGTTGTAACCGGTAAAGAAATCTCCATGCAGGCTGCTGACTGGGCTTTTCGAAATGGTGGTCTTCCAGGACCCCAGCGATTTACTTTTGAAACATCGGCACTAGAAAGACGTTTTCCAGAACTGCAACTCTGAGAAGTTGGACTTGTGCAGTGTCCATTTACATGGTCTGTGCCAAGAGGAGGAAGACAGAATAAATATAATAATTAACTCTTAATATGAAAGAATACAAGTGTGTGGATTAACAAATGAAGATAAGCAACAATTCCTTTATTTTCTAAACCACATGAACATAGTTAAGTCCTTGTTCTTTTAAGATTTAGTCATAAATTTTAGTAGTTAGCCAAAAATTTCAAAAGATATTTATTAAGCATAAGATTCTCTTTAAAAATATTTTGGCTATGTAACATAGCTGAAAATTGATTCCATAGCTCTACCATGTATTTTGTCATTATAGTATTAAATGTTTTGTTGCATAACTTAAGTATACAATGAAAGTACTTTAAGTGCTTGGAGTTTAAAAAGATAGAATAGAAGCATTTAAAAAAAGTTTTACTTTAAGTTCTGGGATACATGTGCAGAATGTACAGGTTTGTTACATAGGTATACATGTGCCATGGTAGTTTGCTGTACCTATCAATCTGTCTGCTAGGTTTTAACCCCTGCATGCATTAGGTATTTGTCCTAATAGTCTCCCTCCCCTTTCCCTCCATCCCCCGACAGACCCCGGTGTGTGATGTTCCCCTCCCTGTGTCCATGTGTTTTCATTGTTCAACTCCCACTTATGAGTGAGAACGTGTGGTGTTTGGTTTTCTGTTCCTGTGTTAGTTTGCTGAGAATGATGGTTTCTAGCTTCATCCATTTCCCTGCAAAGTACATGAACTCATTCTTTTTTATGTCTGCATAGTATTCCATGGCATATATGTGCCACATTTCTTTATTCAATCTATCATTGATGGCCATTTGGGTTGGTTCCAAGTCTTTGCTATTGTAAATAGTGCTTCAATAAACATACGTGTGCATGTGTCTTTATAGTAGAATGATTTATAATCCTTTGGGTACATACCCCAAAATGGGATTGCTGGGTCAAATGGTATTTCTGGTTCCAGATCCTTGAGGAATCGCCACACTGTTTCCACAATGGTTGAACTAATTTACACTCCCACCAACAGTGTAAAGTGTTTCTATTTCTCCACATTCTCTCCAGCATCTGTTGTTTCCTGACTTTTTAATGATTGCCAGTCTAACTGGCGTGAGATGGTATCTCATTGTGGTTTTGATTTGCATTTCTCTAATGACCAGTGATGATGACCTTTTTTTCATATGTTTCTTGGCCACATAAATGTCTTCTTTTGAGAAGTGTCTGTTCATATCCTTTGCCCACTTTTTGATGGGGTTGTTTTATGCTTGTAAATTTGTCTAAGTTCCTCGTAGATTCTAGATATTAGCCCATTGTCAGGTGGATAGATTGCAAAAATTTTCTCCCACTCTGTATGTTGCCTGTTCACTCTGATGATAGTTTTTTTTGCTGTGCAGAAACTCTTTAGTTTAATTAGATCCCATTTGTCAATTATGGCTTTTGTTGCAATTGCTTTTGGTGTTGTAGTCATGAAATCTTTGCCCATGCCTATGTCCTGAATGGAAGTTCTGGCTAGGGCAATCAGGAAAGAGAAAGAAATGGTATTCAAATAGCAAGAGAGAAAGTCAAATTGTCTCTGGTTGCAGATGACATGATTGTATATTTAGAAAACCCTATGGTCTCAGCCCAAAATCTCCTTCAGCTCATAAGCAACTTCAGTAAAATCTCAGGATACAAAATCAATGTGCAAAAATCACAAGCAGTCCTATACACCAATAATAGAGAGCCAAATCATGAGTGAACTCCCATTCACAATTGCTACAAAAGAGAATAAAATACCTAGGAATATAACTTACAAGGGACATGAAGGACCTCTTCAAAGAGAACTACAAACCACGGCTCAAATAAATAAAAGAGGACACAAACAAATGGAAAAATATTCCATGTTCATGGATAGGAAGAATCAATATCGTGAAAACGGCCATACTGCCCAAAGCAATTTATAGATTCAATGCTATTCCCATCTAGCTACTTTCTTCACAGAATTACAGAAAAAGCTACTTTAAATTTCATATGGTACCAAAAAAGAGCCCATATAGCCAAGACAATCCTAAGCAAAAGGAACAAAGCTGGAGGCATCAAACTACCTGACTTCAAACTATACCACAAGGCTATAGTAACCAAAACAGCATGGTACTGGTACCAAAACAGATATACAGACCAGTGGAACACAACAGAGGCCTCAGAAATAATATCGCACATCTACAACCACCTGATCTTTGACAAACGTGACAAAAACAAGCCATGGGGAAAGAATTCCCTGTTTAATCAATGGTGCTGGGAAAACTGGCTAGCCATATGCAGAAAACTGAAACGGGACCCCTTCCTTACACCTTATACAAAAATTAACTCCAGATGGATTAAAGACTTAAATGTAAAACCTAAAACCATAAAAAACCCTAGAAGAACAGAAGCATCTTGCTGTGCAGTTAAGAAGGGTACATAAGAATATTGGTTCTGGGGCCAGGCCAGACTGCCTGGAATTAAATCCCAGTGCTGCCACATACTAGTTGTATAGATTACTGAAGTCTTCATGCATTAGTTGCCTCTTCTGTAAATGTGGAATATTATTACCTACCTAATGGAGTTTTTGTGATTTTTTTGTGATAATACATGTCAAATGCTAGAACATGTGCTGGCATACAGTAAACTCAGAACAAAAGTTAATTACTATTGTCATCTTTTTCCAGAGTATAAAACTACTCATGTCCAAGTTAAGAGTACTGTTTATTTAGAGCTTGTGCATTTGGCTCTGTTTTGATAGAACTTAAAAACTTGGCAGTGCATTAAAATATGTCTTATTTTTCTTAATGCTAACAAATTATATTTGAAACATCATCTCATAGTTCAGCAATATGCAGAATACATTTTAAAATGTGTTTATTTGGTCATACAAATGATGATAGAGTGCCAAGGAGAAAAATCATATTTAATGGCCATGTTGAACATGAAGAACTAGTACTTGGTATCCACTATAATATAGCCTTACTGTATTATAGAGTTTGAAAAGGTATGATTGTATGTTTCCTGGATTCCCTTGCAGATACTGCAAAGATGAAAATTAGTTTTCACCATTTAAATAGCTGGCATGTTTTATTATTTTTTAAAAATGGGAGTTAACATTTATCAAACACTTAAATGCTGGGCACTTTATACACATTACCTCATTTAACCTTCACAACAATCCTGCAATGTAGGTTTTTTTTTTTTTTCTATTATCCTGATTTTGCAGATGAAGAAACGAAAACTCAGAAAAAAACAATCAGGAAATTTTCTCATATCACATATGTAATAATCATGGAGGCAGACTTCTAATCCAGAGTTGTTCGCTTACTATCTGTATGCTTAAACATTTGACTACAGGGTCAGGTAAAATATTTAAGAAGGAGTAGCAATTTTGAAGATATATTTAGTAGGGTTTAAGAGGCACATGTAATGCACACTGAGATCCAGACCTTTTGGATTCTGACCATAATGTGCTTTGGAGAGGACATTTTAAAATTAAATCTATTTGGGGATTATTGAACCTTCCATATCTGTATGTTTAGATCTCTTCCAACACTTGGGAAGTTTTCATTTATTATTTCATTAAGTTTTCTTTTTTTGGTATAAATTTAAAGGGTACAAGTGCAATTTTGTTACATGAATATATTGCATAGTGATGAAGTCTGGACTTTTAGTGGAATCACATCTGAATAAGTACTCTGTACCTGGTAAGTGATTTCTCCTTTCTCACTCCCCCTCTGACCCTCCCACCCTTCTGAGTCTTCAATGTCTGTTATTCTACACTCTATGTCCACGTGTACAAATTATTCAGCTCCCATTTATAAGTGAGAACATGCAGGATTTTTCTATGCCTTTTTCCTTCTTTGCTGTTTCTGGAACTCCTAAAATTTGATTGTTTGTTTGCTTGTTTCCCATGTCTCCTAGGCTTTCCTCATTCCTTCTCATTCTTTCTTCTTTCTCCCTCCCTCTTTTCCTCCCTCCACAACACCCCCGTGCCACCTTTGTCTGATTGGATTATTTCAAAAGACCTGGGTTCAAGTTCAGAAATTCTTTCTTCTGATTGGTCTAGTCTACTGTTAAAGTACTCAATTGTATTTTTTATTTCATTCACTGAATTCCTCAATTCCAGGATTTGTTGTGTGTGTGTGTGTGTTTTTTTTTTTATGATATGTATCTCTTTGTTGAATTTCTCATTCAGCTCATGAATTGCTTTTCTTATTTCTTTGTATTTATCTGTATTCTTTTGTATCTTGCTGGATTTCCTTAAGATAATTATTGTAAATTCCTTTTCAGGCATTTCATAGAATTTTTTTTACCTTTGGGGTCTGTTACTGGAGAATTATTGTGTTCCTTTGGAGGTATCATGTTTTCTTGATTTTTTGTGTTCACGTGTTCTCACATTGATATTTCTACAGCTGGTATAACTGCCACTTTTCCCAATTTTATAAAGTAGCTTCCATAAAGAAATACTTTTTCCTGTTGATGTATCTATAATGTAAGTTAGGTACATGGCTTTCGCTCTGGTTCTGGATGGGCACCATAGTGTAGTCTCCACGTGATTACTTTGACTGTAATCAGTATCGGAGGTATCTGCAAGTTCCTTAGTGGCATAGGCTGCAGTTGTTTTTGGAGGCTGTGGTGAGGATTTGCTGGGGATGGAGGTGCCAAGTGGGCTGGTCCTCAGACCTCTTGGTGGGGTATGTGAGCATCAGCAGTGATGGCAGTGGGCCAGTTCTTGGTTCCCTGGGTGGCACATGCAGGTGTCAGTGGTGGTAGTAAGTGCCCTGAGGTCTTTGGGCCCTCAAGTGGAGCACACAGGTGCTGGCAGGTGAGGTGGCCTGCTCCTTGAGTCCCTGGGTAGGATGCATGCATTGGCACTGGCAGTGGCAATAGCAGGTGGGTCTTCTGGTGCCTGAGTGGAGTGCACAGACACTGGTGGTGTCAGCAGGCCAGTAGGACCAGTCTGCAGGCCACTGGATGGCATGCACGGGTGCCAGCAGTGAGCCAGGTGGCCCAGTCCCTAG